TATTTTCGTTAAGAACATCAAAGTACTCTAAATGAATCAGAATAAATAAAAATCAGTTACTTTTAATTTAGATGATGACAAAAGGATGTGGAGTCGAACGAGTCATGAGATATCCCGCATCTTCTAAAGCAGAATATTAACCAGACATTTATCTCTATGCTTCTTTTTCGAGGATTTCTGATGAGGTGTTTATTGTGTGAATGAATGCAGACAGTGTATGACAGAGATTTTTTCTCTTTTGACGACAAGATGGGAGATGCCGAATTTGAGATTGGCTCCTTTCTGGAAGCTGTGAAAATGCACCTGGGAAACATGCCTAGTGGCACCATAATCAGGACAATTCAGCCCAGCAGGGAAAACTGCCTAGCTGAAGAGAGCAGGATTATTTGGAGCAATGGCAAGGTTGTCCAGAACATGTTTCTCCGGCTTCGGAATGTGGAGAGGGGTGAAATCGAACTCCAGCTGGAATGGATCGATATCCCTGGCTCAAGGGGCTTGTAGATGTCATTTCTACAAATCCTGCATTGTACACCGCCTTCTTTTTCGTTTAAATTTTATTTTAGCCCGCGTTTGTTGATAGAGGCGAGAGCACAATGAGGAGAATACTACCGATGTCTATATCCTAAGATGCTATAAAGTGTGATTTCTGTTTAAACTCATTTTAGTGCTTCCATAATCAGATAGCTACCTTTTCTATCTTCGATGTTTTTGCAATTATCTCGCTTCGGGTTCCTTTCTTCGTTGATTAACAAAATCTCTGTTGAAGCAAATCCAAACCTTTTATCGATTTCTTTTGAAGATTTCAAATTACACTAGAGAACAATGAAAATTTTGAGTTTTCATAATAAATTTCAATTGGAATTAAAATAATTCATATAAAGTTTCAATAATTTTTATAATATTTTTAATTTATTAATTTAGTTTTATTTAAAATTGTATATGAATTTAAGTTTTATTATCTTTCACGTGGAATTTTATTTTTTTTCTAATTGAAGTATGCATATACCATATGCCTTTCACTTTATAATAATTTATAATAGCTTATATTTGTTGAGGCATTCCATATATATATACTAATATTACTATGTTGGTTTTTTTTGTATTTATTTTAAAAAATATTTGATATATATTTTATATAAAGTTTTTGTTTATGAAAAATTATGTTAATTTTTTTATAAATAAATTTAATAATTTATTATTAATGTAATTTTTAAATTACATAATAAATATTTGTTTATTAATTTTATC